CCCTATTATTATTAATACTAGCATTTTGTACGCGCGATGCGCGAAAATTTATGCCCAATATTAAAATATTTGTAAGTAACAAAATTTAAAAAATTAATTAAAATTATGTTTTGCAATTTCTTAAAGTGATGATGATACTTTTGAATTATCATATATTTGAATAATATAGTGATCAAAAAAAATTATATTTTTATATAATAATAATTTACAAATAATACTAAGCTAACACCCACATATATGATATATTGATATGTATACACAAATAATATACATACATATTTTATATATATAATAAAATATAATTTATAATTAAATTAATTGTTATATGATAATTTTAATAAAATGATAATTAAAAATAGGAAAAAGATATGATAGATGTAGGTGTATGATAAGATTGGTAGATATATTAAAAACTAACGGTGTTATAACGGTGTAAGGGTGATTTTGTCCAATGCAAATGAATGTACAACAATTAAAGCAAAATGTATATATTTATTAGCATATAAAAAGGGGACAAAAATTAAGGACATAACTTGTATTGACACTTATTATGTTTTTAGATTGGCTTGTTTTATGGCTTAGTCTATTGCTTGAACACAGTTTTTTAATTACTTTTTAATATTAATTAATTGTGATATTTTCACACATACAAATTATTTAATCAAATTAATTATGTTTTATATTTTGTTATAAAGATTTTTATAATGTTTTGATGTGTTTTATTTTTCGTATATATCCAATAATATTTCTAGATAATATTTCTAGATAACTTTATCTTAATGTTTCGGCGCCACTGAAAAATAATTCTGGATCTGCCACTGGTCATAGATATCATGACTGATCGATTTAGTGGTTCAACAAATGAGCTCAAGTGATGATTTGATGCACAACGACTTTATGAGCATTTTAACATGAGAAGAACTACTGTGAGGCGCCAACAATAACTACTTGCTGGCGTTTGAGTTGACCCGTCCCCTTCCACTTGAGCCGAAATGGTTAAACGTATTGGTGGAGACTCGAAAAAATTGGAAATCGGTTGTGCTCCATCTCAACTAAAAGCTTAAGCAGATAGTTGAATTGCATATTAATGGCTATATGCTCAACAGGGACAACGCTACCAACAAAGATAGACTAGCTTGTTAACGAAGGGAGGAGAAGAAGGCATGCCAAAGTGAAAAGAAATAATGCCTTGCATTTCATGATTGGTTAATTAACAAATACTCCCTCTGTCCCATTTCAATTCTTATACCATGGATCAGGGTTCGCAGTGTACTGTATTGTGAACGTAACCCTGGTGCATATATATGTCTTATGTTGTGAGTTTTTGTACCTTATATTATGAAATTTTGTAACTTAAGAGTATGAATTCTGTACCTGAAACAAAATAGTAATTGTGTTTTATGTTATGAATTCTTTTATCTTTTGTTATGAACTTTTATGCCTTTGAACACAAATTATGTATCTAAATTAGATTTGAAAAATAAGTAAATATATAACATGTGTATATTTTGTGTTGTAATTTGATTAAGCAACCAATATAAGTGTAGCTTTTTGTCCTAGCTTGTTGCCCCAAAACATTAAAATTCAAAAAACTGTTCAAAGCAACATTTTTTAGAAAATAAAAAATAAAATCATTTTGCATGTAATCAGCTATCAACTAACAACTAATTTACTAAACATCTTTCTATAATCAGCTAAAGATATTAACTAATAAAACTCACTAAATCAATAAACAAACCGTTAACAGCTATTAGCTAACCGCTACCGTAAAGAAATTAAAACATTGCCTTGCATTTCATGCTTGGTTAATTAACAAATGATAACTGATGGGCCAGATGTGGAATGTTTTCATACACTACTTTGTTATAGGCAACTTCATTGCCATTTCTGTAATATGCTAAAATCACATTGCTCCTGAAGTTAGCACATGGATCAGGGACGGGAAATTATACCGTGCACCAGGGTGCACAATGCATTGTGCGCCCTGATCCAAAACAACGTCGTTTTGTACCTTCTTCTGTGTCTGCTGTTAACTTCTTAAAAAAAATTTCTCATGTTTTGAATGTACAGAATTGTATAATAAAATGTACAGAATTTTATAACTTAATACACATAATTTTTTTTGAAAGGATAATACATATAATCTAACATAATACATAATACACATAAACTCTTAACTCTTTAAAAAAAAAATTCTCATGTTTCGAATGTACAGAATTATATAATAGAATGTACAGAATTGTATAATAGAATGTACAGAATTTTATAACAGAATACACATAATGTTTTTTGAAAGAAAAAACTACCCTGTTGCGAATGTATAGAATTGTATAACAGAATATACATACACTCCGTCGTGTCAATTTTTCACACAACTTAATCAAATAATGTCGTTTTAAGAGGCACGGGACGCACATTACTATGTGCGCCGTGGTGCACGGTATAACGATTGCACAGGGATAGTGTGGCTTGCTATGAAAAAATGTTATGTAGCCCAGGACACTAAAAATGTTTGTCTGATCTGACCTAACTCACATCCCAAAATTAAAAGGATTTTTTTTTCCTTTTTTTTTTTAAATTTGTTTTTAGATTATAATTATTATATATCAATTTATGTACAAAATTTTATAACTGAATACACATAAACTTTTTTGAAAGGATAATATACATAATCTAACATAATACATAATACACATAAACTCTTAACTTTTTAAACAAAATTTCCATGTTTCGAATGTACAGAATTATATAATAGAATGTACATAATTGTATAATAGAATGTACATAATTTTATAATAGAATGTACATAATGTTTTTTGAAAAGAAAAAAATTCTCTGTTTCGAATGTACAAAATTGTATAACAAAATACACATACACTCCGTCGCATCAATTTTCCACACAACTTAATAAAATGACGTCGTTTTGGACTTTTGAGAGATGCGAGACACACATTGTTATGTGCATTGTGGTGCCCGGTATAATGATTGCACAGGGACAGTGAGGGATAGTATGGCTTGCTATGAAAAATGTTATGTAACCCAGGACACTCAAAATGTTGGTCTGACCTAACTCATATCCCAAAAATAAAAGTCATTTTTCCAATTTGTTTTTAGATCATAACTATTATATATCAATTTATGTATTTATTTTTATTAAAATAAGATACAAGTTAAAAATTATTTTTTACATCATTTTATTATAATTATTATTCATCTTTATACCGATTATAACTTTTATGTTAATATAAATAATTATTATTCATCATTAAAATGATTCATATTTTGTAAGAAATAACTTTCAAATTGATTTATGTTCATTTAAATAAAATAACCAAACAGAAAAAAAAAAGGTTTTAGCCAAATGAAAAATAGTTGTTTAATTTTCTGACTTTCAAAAAAAATGAAAATGAAATTTTTTTTTTTTCAAAAAATGATGTTTTTGGCCATTATAGTATTAGGAACTACTTTATTTTTAGGGAGCAAAACAATATTCAGATATTATGAGTGGTTTGGTGGTTTTACAAATGAGCCCATAGAGTGATCTCTGAGAGAAATTGTATTGTAGACATCATAACTAATTAATTTGGTGGTCCAACAATTGAGTTCCTGCAATAATTTAAAAATAAAACAGTATTACAGATATCATGCATGGCTGGTGGTGGTCCAACAAATTAGCTCAGGGAGTGGTGTGATATGACACCTTTTTGGGTTTGCCAAGATGCACAATACATGTATATATGGGCATTCCTAGCCTGAGAAGAACTACTCTGATCTGAGGCACTAATTAACAATAACTATTTGGTGTTTGGGTTGATCCTTTTCACTCAATCTTAAAGATGGCCGGTATTGTTAAATGTATTGGAATTCACCGAGTACTGCTCAAAATCATATAGAATAAGAGATCGAGAATCTGGAGTACCAAAAACAATGCAAGAAGGAATAAGGAAAGCTTCTATAGCATTCTCTTGGTTGAAGGGTGAGAGTTGGCACAAAGTCTGTATCTAGACAGATTGTTAACATGTGTCTCGGCTTTTTAACAATCTTTCTTTGGATTGATAATATACTAATTTTGTTGTTAGGGATAGTCGTAGAATATTGTCTAAGTTTCAGACATACATCGTTAGATAAGTTAATAGATTAGTGAATCTGCAGGCTCATAGGTTAGCTCCCATTCAAACACGTACTGATCTCTGTATTTGGGTAGGCAGGGAAAGCTTCTGCAACAATAGCATGCAATACCTCTCTCTAGCCATCTCAACTAAACTAGCAGAGCTCATCTTTAATTTAATATATTCCTTTTTAGTGGTATTATGAAGTAGTCACTTTATTTAATCATGAGATTAAAAAAAAAAAAATAGCACCACATATAAGGACAAAAAGTAAGACGCATTACGCAGGCTGGTGCTCAATTGGTTCTTACTTTTGAGGGGACATTAACCAAAATCCCCTGAAATCATAAGACAAGTTTCCCGGGCCATGACTATCCCTGTTTTCTTCTCCTCCATCTCCACTCATACTGTCCTTCATTAACAGTGAAAACATATATAATAGCTACCATATATCCATACTGCAAATGCATTTTGGTACCTAGATAGTGTAACATTGTATGATTGCATATCTCCCATCGTCAGCACTAGCATAATTATTACTGGTATTAGAATCAAGCACTTCCCTTACCCAGTAATATCAGGGTGCTAGACTTAACATTTTACCGGCCTTTACTCAACCATCTCGTCAACATATTAGTGCTGGACTTGCACCGCTGGAAATTATGAAATTTTCGTTCACTTGAAAGTAATCTTAAATCAAGTCGAAAGCCTGGTTCCGACCACTTTGATATTCGGAAGAACTTTTGTTGCTATTTCCAACCACTTTTTGCTTTCGACTTGATTTAAAATCACTTTCAGGATCAGAAATTCCGTAATTTCCAGCAGTGTTGGTCCGGCCTCCGCCCAACAATTGGAAATAAGTTGAAAACCAGTATGGATTGGAGGAGGAAATTAAGGTAGATCAGAGAAGATTAATTTAAAATTTGATTCATCATCTGTACTTACAAAGGATGGCTCAGTTACATGCATGCAGTTGTTTCCACTGTCGGACACAGTGACTAATCTGAATCTTGATAGGCTAAGCACATTCTTTGGGGAATGGGAAAGAAAGAGAAAGAGCAAGAAACAGGGAAGCTAGCTACGCATAGAAGTAATACAAAAATGGTGAAAATTTTAGTTTGTGATCTGATCTGATAGATGCATAAGGCTATTGATTTAAAGCCAGAGAGCTCCGGCTTCCTTGAGGAGAGGGACGAGAGTGCCATTGATGTGTGAAGCCATGACTCTGTCCATGGTCCCAACCAGCTTTCCGCCGATAAAAACCACCGGAACCGGCGGCGAGTTGCCGAGCAGCCTGGACAGCGCCTTCTCCATCTCCTTCCCTTTGGGGTCCTGATCCAGCTCGTACACCGTGGGGTTAACGCCCATCCCGCAGAAGAGACGCTTCACTGCATGGCACATGCAGCAGGTGCTGACGCTGAATATCACCACCGCGCTGCCGGAGGCCAGCCGGACCACCCTCTCCAGCGGGTCCGACGATGAACTCCTCGGGCTCGCATTATGGTAGTTGCCCCAACCCGAATCTGTCGTCTGGCAATGCTGCATAATTCCGGTTACTATTTAGTATCTAAGAAACAAAGAAAGAGAGAGTGAAGGATGGATACGATGGGATCGATGAGGATGATATATGGCAACGGTACGTTTATATAGGGGGGAAAATGGAGGAGGGGCAAAATGGTAAATTGGTTAGGTTTTTAATTTTTGTCTGTTGTTGTCGCCAAGGCGTGCCTTATTTATTTATTTATTTATTTTTACATCTAATGGGCCTTTGCTACGTGGGTTATATATGTTATTATTATTATATATGTTGGCTGGGGCTAGCTAGGTTTTAAAAGATGTATGCGCGCAATAGTACAGAGTAGAATTGAAGAAGCTAATTAACACAATATTTATGGCACCAGCACCAACGTTAGCCGCTAATAAACATGGCATTAAATTTTGGAGTCGTACGTAGTTTTCTTGCGTTGCGTTGGAGCCAAAGTAAAGCTGTCAGCTCGCTCAGGGAATTGAAACCGGAGCTACTGTCCCATCCAGGCTACGGACTACTATGAATTTTATTATTATGGTATAATAACTCCCAATTCTACTCGAGTTTTATTACATGTATTTCAATATCTTACTCTTTAAATTTAATTTTTTTGATATAGCTAACTCTGATAAGTTATTTTTTGAGTAAAAGACATTTTTGATCCTAGACTTATAGTGGCTTGGACAATTTTAGTCCATTATAAAAAAAATTTGTCATTTTATGGATAGAGTTATTGTGGCGAGGACATTTTTGGTCCTCCGTCTATATTTCGAGAACATTTTTGGTCCTCCGTCTATATTTCTGTTAGATAACCGTATGAGAGAGGGGCAATTACGTCAATTTAGGCTATCTCCTTCTATCTATTATATCAATGTGTGTTTGGCGGCTTCGATTCTCCTTCTATCTATTTGATTAGTAACCTGTTTGGCGGCTTCGATTCTCCGGCAATTTCTTCGTACAACTGCAACTTGGACTCTCCGACTCCTTCGAATTATGACCGAGAAGAAAACAAAACACACATAGATATAATAGATATAAGGAGATAGCCTAAATTGACGTAATTACCCCTCTCTCAGGCGGTTATCTAACAGAAATATAGACGATGGACCAAAAATGTCCTCGCCACAATAACTCTGTCCATAAAATGGCAAATTTTTTTATAAAGGACTAAAATTGTCCAAGCCACTATAAGTTTAGGACTAAAAATGTTTTTTACTCTTATTTTTTCATATGAGTCCCAATACAGTTTATATTAAAATTTTGTGTGTGAAAGTAGAAAAATGCGTATACATATAGTATTTTCTATTCCACTCCATCAATTATACTTTTTGATGTAACAATCATGGATGTGAAATTTTCATCTTGTAGCCGGGTATAGGAAATGTTCTCTACGTCTAAGATTTATAAGAGGGAGTAAAAGTTGACAATTGAATTTGAAAGTATAAGTAGTATTTTCCGACTACTAAACCTCAACGCCACGATATATTACTCCCTGAGTCTTATTTTATATATTTAATTCTATTAACGAGATTTAACTAAATTTAGTTTTAATTTAATTGTTCATAATATTAAGGTTATTTTTAGTGTGTAAAAATTTATATATTTAAAAATTATAATAAACATATTATTAAACACAAAAAATTGAATTAATAGATAATTTTTAAACATTAAAAAAATAAGCAAAGAAAAAAAGAGTTGATTTGACCTATAAATAGTAAACATGACAGGTAAAATGAGACAAAGAAAATATAAATTTTAGTAAAAAAGTGTTTAACATGCATTTAAGCTTATTATTTGTGTGCAATTAAAATACTGAATTTAAATTATATACAATATAATTGAATTGTCAAACAAGCAAAATATTTATAATTTAATTGAAATATGTTTTTAATTTTTTTTTTTCTAGTAGAATACACTTTTTTTTTTTTTTTTTTTTTTTTATAATTCAATTGGCTTTTCAACCAAGACTGAGGCCTACCAATTGTAGTATGAGACTGGACCAGTTGCACACCAGGTTCGCTACCAAAAGATGATTCAAATTGTACATGCACAGAGTATGTAGCTGCATAGTCATTATACAATTCTAACATTGCAATTTAGTCATTTTCTAAACAAAGTTTGCCCTTCACTTCACCATGCAGTTGGACAAACTGGTAAGAAATATATTCCAATTTAGAACAAATTGCACTTTTGGTCCTGTGACTATTAGGGTACTGATAATTTGAGTACGTGACTTTCAAAACTCTCAATTTAAACCTTTAACTATGTAATTATTAGCAGATTTAGTCCTGTCGGCCAAATTGCCGGCCAATTTTGGCCGGAAAAATTAAAACTATTTTTAATTATTTAATTATGAGGGCAAATTGGTCATTTTAGAGTCTTCTTCTTCACTTCCTTCAGATATTGGGAGTTCTTCGTCTTCCTTCTTGCAACGACGATCGGAAAAGAAAAAAATGGGAGGTAGAAGTCGAAGCCAGAGTCGGAATAAACATGGTGACCATATGGACGCTTGCGCCGCCAAAAGTCCCAACTAGAGCCACTCGAAGTCGAAGCCGGCGAAGAAGCTGAGCCCGATGGCGACCGACATTCCGACGAGGCAGAGAAGCCCGACGTGCTTGCTTTCCCTCTGATCACGTTGAGATCTAACCTCGGTATTCTTCGATTCCATACAATTGGTTGAAGACGACAATACATATGTAAAAAATCATTGTCTTAAAAATAATATAAAAACGTAAGATATATGTTGGTGATAATAATGGCCCTCGGGCCTCGACTAAGCATTTATTACTCGATCAAAACAAAGCAACTAACACGATAATGTCGGCGGTTATAGACCATACGAAGTTAAGGATAGCAGTGGCGGTAGTGGATGACGGAGACGGCGGAGGCATGGCGATTGAAGGCGAGGGAGCGGCGGCGGCGGCGACACTGGAGAAGCGGCGGAAACAGGGGACGACTCAGTTTCTACGGCGGAGGAAGGCGATGGCTATGGAGTCGCAACGAGAGGAGCGGGAACTGGGTCGGTGGCTCCGCGACGGAATACGGCGATGGAGCGGCGGCGAAACTCGGTGCAGGGGGATTGAGCAACGGATGAGGCGACTAATAGTGCCACAAGAAACATTACCAGAAACTTAGAAAACGCCATTGATGACCGTCGAGAGGAAACTATTTAAGATCGTAGATGGAGAGAAGCTTTTGTAGATCAGAGAGCTTTGGGTTGGGCGGAGATGGAGATGAAAGGTGGTATTTATAGGTTGCTCTGATCTGTTGGGCGGCGCAAGCGTCCATATGGTCACCATGTTTATTTCGACTCTGGCTTCGACTTCTACCTCCCATTTTTTTCTTTTCCGATCGTCGTTGCAAGAAGGAAGACGAAGAACTCCCAATATCTGAAGGAAGTGAAGAAGAAGACTCTAAAATGACCTATTTGCCCTCATAATTAAATAATTAAAAATAGTTTTAATTTTTCCGGCCAAAATTGGCCGGCAGTATCAAATCTGCTAATAATTACATAGTTAAATGTTTAAATTGAGAGTTTTGAAAGTCACGTACTCAAATTATCAGTACCCTAATAGTCACAGGACCAAAAGTGCAATTTTTTCTTCCAATTTATCTTTTGGGTCCAAAATATTGGCAAAAAAGATAGATCAAGAAGTTCATTTTTTCAGGATCCCCACAATACTTTTCAAACTTAATTTTCAATTGGGACCTCATTGCCTAACAATACACAAACCAGAAAGCACAAATCAGAATTTAGAAAGCTAACAAGGTTTTTTTTTTTTAAAAGAATAAAAATGTAAATTTATTAATTACCTTCTCACAGCCAGTTTCAGCAGCAAATCCAACAATCATGTCATCCAACATGCACTTTAGATAAGAAATGTCATTGAAGAAAGTGTTAGAGGTGACATAAAAAGAACCAGATATTCTCACTGTCATCTCATAAAAGCTTTTGAGCAGAATTACCAAGCTTTCCACAGAACACCAGTCAAGAAAAAAAGGAACAAAATAAGCTAGATTAGTAGAAAATGAGGCATCATTCTCCGCATATGCTTCAAACACCTTCTTATATTGTATGGCAGTGTTAAAGAATAATGTAGGTGCTCTTCCAACTTGTTAGACCATCTAGCTGTAAAGCACATTTTGCTTCCACCCCATTCAGATCAGCAAGTTTCTAAATTTTTTGAGCCTTGCAGGTGAGTTCCTAACCCATCTCATAACATCCCAAACCCTTTAAACAGAAATATCAGCAAACTTTAATGCATCCTACACCACTAAGTTCAATATGTAGGATATGCACCTCATGTGCATGTACTGACTCATAACAGTGCTTCCACCTTTTGACAACAATTTGCTCCTAAAAAAACCCATGGCAGTATCATTGGAAGAGGCATTGTCCACGGTGACAGTAAAGATATTTTTTATTCCCCACTCAATTAAACAACTCTCTAAGGCCTTAGCTACATATGAACCCCTTGTGAGAAGAAATAGGGACAAAGGATATGATTTTTTTATTTAGCTTCCACTGATCATCTATGAAATGTGCAGCAATGCACATGTAATTTATCCTCTGAACAGATGTCTAAGTATCAGTAGTCAAGCTGACCCTTTGAGTGCCCACCTTAAAAAGCTTCTTAAGGTTTAATCTTCCATCGAGGTATATTTCTCTTGAAATTGTCCACCAAGATGGGATTTAAAACCTAGGGCAAGCAACAAATATAAACCTTTTAAACCATTGCCTCTCAACAAATCTAAAGGGAAGCTCGTCAATTATAATCATCTCACACAATGCCCTCATATTGACCTCTTAATTAAAGGCCCAAGTCCCCAAAACTCCCTCCGCACCCTCTATTGTAGAGGTTGAAACAGTGTTGAATGTGAGAAGTGATTGCCTTGTATCCTTAGAATGAGGATTTTTTTGGGCAGTCCAACATATTATTTCTTAAAGAGAAAGTGTCATGTTTCTTTGAATCGCATGAAAAGATTTTTGCACAGTACATGCACTTCCCTATAATCAATTTGCCTTCAGAATTCAAGATCTTTTCAAAGTGATCCCAAACTTTTGA